AATAGTGTTGAGTACATTGGATACTTTTTCTTCCATTCTTGAGACACTTTGCTAAGAAGGACATTTTCCAGCTCCATCCATGTAAATATGAAGGAGGCAAGGTCTCCATCTTTCTTTGTGGCTGTATAGTATTCCATGGTGTACATATACTACAATTTATTGATCCATTCATGGGTCGATGGGCACTTGGGCTTCTTCCATGACCTCGCGATTGTGAACTGGACTGCAATGAACATTCTGGTACAGATATCTGTATTATAGCATGATTTATGGTCTTCTTGGTATATACCTAACACAAGTCATTTATTTTCAATCCTGGCCTGACCATATAGTTATTAAATCTCCAGAACCAAGATCTGCATTTCTGCAATTTAAAACCCTATACTGATTATTTTAAAGTAGAGGTGATATACTAAGATCAAGAATGTATGTATATGTGCCAAATGAAGCAAGGTTTGATAAAAATTAACTCCAGGGCGGCACCTGTGGCTCAAAGGAGTAGGGCGCCGCCCCATATGCGGGTTCAAATCCAGCCCTGGCCAGAAACTGCAAAAACACCCCTCCAAATTTGACAAAAATACATAAACAAAAATAAACAAAAAACAACTTTTTTCTATCCCTGCAGATATAATTGTAGTGCTCAAGAGGACAGTGTGAAGGGAAGATGAATTACAAGCAAATTACCTCCCACCACACCATCCTCATGCCCCAATTACAGCTCCACTGTTCCCATGCTGACTCATCTGCCCCAGTCCTAAGCAGCACAGTCTCTAATATGGGGGATAATTGTTCAGATTTACATGTTAACACCATTTGGAAATCAGAATATGAAATGCAGAGTTAGCTGATATTAAAAAGAAGCCAGAATTACATGAATCTAGTGATTTAGAAAGGGGTAGAAGGAGGTAAAGATGGAAAATTAAAAGGAGTCGATCCTTATAGGCTTCTTAGAGTTCTGCCTTTTATTCAAATCAAGAAATTATGCTTAAAAATAGTGCAGAGAATCCAAGGTGTAGATACTTTGGGAGGATGATTTGCCTGTCAAACGAAATTTAAATTTAGTTTCCTATATAGTTAAGGGAACACAATTTAGGCATAATAGGTCTAGCAAAGTCTGTTCCTTAGGCTGTTCAAAAATTATAAACATGAGATTTGGGCAGACGTCATGATTAGGTGGCCTGAGGGTCACTTAGTTCTTTCTTGACTTTCTAGAGAACATTATTAGCTTTATGGTAAGGGTTCACAATTGCCATATTATGAAAGAGCCCTCACCTTCTAATCTTTAAGCCCTTTTGAATTCATATTTACTGACATAGGTTTCTCTAATCTCATTATTCCATTGTTTCTAGAGTTTCCAGTGACTAATCTAATAGTAAACAGTAACTTAGTAACAGTAATAGTAAACAGACTCTTCCATGATGGTCAATTTTCAATAGTTCAGTGGATGTTTAGCTTTAATCCACATATTTCCCTCTTCCTCCTGCCACATTTTATACATGATACTGACATTGAATAGAAAAGTACCTTGCCCCCAAGCCTATGTCAAAATGGAAACCCAAATAAAACAATATTTCTGAAATTCTGAATTTGAAAACTCTACCAGGCCACTTCTCATATGAATGATTCTGGTTTCGAAGTGTAGTTAGAATGCAGCAAATCAGCCAAGAGGACTGCAAACGTTGCCTTCTCCACCTCCTGTGTCCCATACATGAAGGCAGGAGGCCCTGACACTATGCCTCGACTGCCAATGACATGATCCACTGTGTTACTCCAGGAGAAAGTGGAAATGCAGAGGCAGTGCTTCAGGTTGGAGTTTGAGAAATACCGTGGATTCCTGGCCCAGGAGGAGCAGCTGCAGCTGAAGCAACTGGAGCAGGAAGAGAGGGCCACTTTGCAAAGACTGCGGGAGGGCAGGACCCGGCTGGGCCAGCACAGCAGAGCCCTGCGGGAACTGGCAGAAGAGCTGGAGGACAGGTGCCAGCGCCCAGCTCTGGGTCTCCTGGAGGTGAGTCCAACTGGCAGGAAGACAAGCAGATGTGACTCTGTAGGGACAGAGTCAAGGACAGTGACTTTCAGAGACAGACAATTAGTCTTTTATGTTCTTTAGGAAAAGGGCATGCTAGAATTTACCCAGAAGGCATCTTAATCCTAAATCTTAGCATCAGAATCATAAGTGAATTGTATAATTCACATTGAAGACAAAAAAATTAAAGATCAAAATTTATTTAATGAGTTGTGAAAACTAAAACAGATAGAGAAAGGATAAGGTACACAATGCTGGCTGAGAAATGCTTCTTAAAACCTCATAGCCAGCCTGTCAACAATGACCTTTCTGTTTTGTGACAGTCCAAAAAATCTTGGGTAACTCACCTCAGTATAAATAGCCAAAAATTTTAGTCATATTTTAAACTGTCCAATTTGAAATTCCTTCATTACATTGTAAGCAAACCCTGACTGCCTAGCCCAGTGGTTCTCAGCCTTCCTAATGACACGACCTTTTAATACAGTTCCTCATACTGTGGTGACCCTCCCACTATAAAATTATTTTTGTTGCTACTTCATAACTATAATTTTGCTACTGTTATAAATTGTAATGTAAATATCTGATATGGAGGAGATCCCCAAAGGGGTTGCGACCCACAGTTTGAGAACCGCTGGATATTGCATGTCCATTTCAGGCATGGTGCGGAGAGAGTACCTAAACTCCCATGCAGCCTGCTCCCAAGCTATTGAGGATTAGAGAGCAGAAAGAAAAATAGCAGGTGAAAGGAATACAGTTTTTAATCCTCCATGGAGACATTCTATCCCAGGTGAACAGGGAAACCTGTAGTTGATGATGGATGCATAGTCTTGAAAGAACCAGCTGCAACAGTAATTCATCTGGTCACACTTATGTCTCATGCCCAATACCTTATTCAGGGAATTCTAAACTAGTTCATTTGTGTTAACAGGTGAGCCACAGATTCCCTTTTGTCTGATTTAGTTCTTGACACTTAAAATGCCATGAATATAACTAACCATGCTAACTATCTGTATAATATTCATAGTTACAGGGACTAAACAGTACTAGTGACACAGCAGGAGATCATTAAGTGAATGAATTTACAAAGCATTTGAATTTAATTTGTTTCATTTTACCTTCAAAATATCTACAGACAAGTAAAATTTGGCATTATTGGCATCATCATTAGTATTATTGCTATGCTTATTACCTTGCAAGCAAGGTATGGGTCAGCAAGGAATTAATTTTCTAAGTAGCAGACAGCAAATAAACATAGGAACCTTGACATTTTCTTTCATTTTCTTTTCTTTTTTTTTTTTTTTTGAGACAGAGTTCTATTCTGCTGTCTTGAGTAAAGTGCCATGGTGTCATCATAGCTCACAGCAACCTTATAATCTTAGGCTTGAGCAAAATTCTATTGCCTCAGCCTCCTTAGTTGCTGGGACTACAGGCACCCACCACTATACCTGGCTAGTTTTTGGACTTTCAGTAGAGATAAGGTCTTTCTTTTGCACTTCCCACCTTAGCCTCCCAGAGTGCTAGTTGAGCTGCTGCACCAGGCCAGCACTTAATGTGTTAGTAGTAACATTCATTGCCTTACCTCACCATATTTCACATAACTCATTTACATTTAGCATTTCTTACCAACAAATAAATGTTAATCTCTAATACAAATCGTAGGAAGCATATATTCTTCAGTAATTTATATTTACTTTCATGCTATTGTTTCCCTGTCTTCCCCAGCACCATTAAGCTACATTTTACCCCCAATGGCCATGACCAAGGCCTGTCATTTCTGTATAGGGTAAAGTGAATTTTTTGGATGCTTTTATGCCCTGTCAAAATTTATCAGACTAGTGATTATTTTTTAGGAGGAGAGGAGAAATGTATTCTAGATATATTTATTTATTAATAAATATACACATATTTAATAACCTTCTTTGAGTTAAAATGTTGCTTAATACTAATGACTTTTTTTTATGTACTTAGGTAACTTATTCATATGAGTAGCTCTGGTGTGCTGGTTCAAAGAATTAGGCATTTGGGGTTTTCTCATAAAGACCTTGAGGAAAATATTTTACATCTATACCTACCACTGTTCCTTACATAAATTCTGCAAATATTTAGAATATATTTTAAATTCCAAATGTATCTGCATCAGGTGCAGAATGCAGCTCTTATTAAAATAAACCAAAGGCCATAATCATCAATTCAAAAATAATTAAATTGATAGATGTCATATGAATTAACCTATACTTTGTGTAGTGTGATTATTTTTCTAATTATGACTAATTATGTTATTTCAGATTCTTGAGAAAATTTAATGGCAGCCCATTTTTGGCTTTGATGAAAAGAGATTTATTGTCCCCTATAATTTTACCTTAGTCACTAATTATTTCCAATAATTCCTAAAGAAATTTTCATGATATGTCCCCCAATCTAGCTGTTAAAAGCAAATCACAGGTTTGACTCACACCTGTCTGTGTTTCTCTTTCACTCTCAGGGTGTGAGAGGAGCCTTGAGCAGGTATGTTTCCTTTCTGAATCATGGAAGGGATTGGGAGAGGCAAAGGAGGGTGGTGCATAACCCTACTGACATCAGACCATTCTATGCTCTTCTTAGAAGTAAGGCAGTCACACGGTTGGAACCAGAGACCATTCCCATGGAGGTGAAGACAGCATGTTGCATCCCTGGGATGAGAAAAATTTTGAAGAGGTTTCAAGGTAAGTTGTGAGTTACAGCTTGGGAGATTGTGATGCTTGGGGTTTGGCTGTCATTGCAGTATGTCACTCTGCCAGGCAGGCTATAGTGACAATAGAATACAAAGTCTTCCTGGCCAAAATCAGCAGAGATTTCCCTTGAGTATGTGCCACTGGTCTATTACTGGACAGGACCTGGATTGTGGGACTTCTCTGTCATACCTTCACATTCACCTCCTTCCTGGTACAGGGAGACATGGAGGAGGGGAAGGTTAGGTCAACTTGATAATCAAAAGGATTAACATCCAGTTTTCAGGAGTTAATTTAAACAAAAATAGCGGGAATACCCCTGGAAAACATAGACTCTAAGCAGTGGTGTCAGTGCTCTGGAGTTCAAAATTCAAATATTCTTTATACAGGCAGAAAACAAAGAAATTTAGTAGCTTTATAACATTTTCTATCAAAGACTGAGTGATGTATAGGAAATGTTGAGTTACAACAATTTGATTAATTATAGCTTGTTTCTATCTCCCTTACAGTGTGAAAGAGTGTATTTAACAATTTGTTGTAGACAGTGTGATAGTTGTGATGTCTTTGTGTGAAAGAATAAAGAAGGAAGTTAATCTATAATGATGATCAACATTGAAGAGGGAAGGGGTCTCCCTGGCACCTTTGCTCCTTTACAACATTTTATAAAGCATTATTAGTAAGGAGGAAAATTAATCTGTCAACAGAAACAAAGGTTATAGCTGCATGACTCTAGCCCCATAATCACATTCCTTTGTGGCTCAAAACATTTAAAGTTCCACCAGCTTAGATTACTTATTTTCACGGTTATTAAAGAGACAGGGAATTCTCTTTCACAATTCACGTCTCCAGCAGACACTTTAGCTGGGTGTACTCTAATTCAGTTTGATTCTGACATTATAAACCTGGAGAAGTGTCCAATCTTACAATTGGGGGCCACATTCCACAAGACTGCCCCATCCACAGGATGCCAGCCATGAGCATAGGTTATAACCTGGCTCAACCTTCAGCCCTTCTCCTCCCTAAAGGTGTATATGTGGAACCAAAAGTTACAACACTTTAATCCTAGAGTTGGTTCCCTAGGTGACCAAACCCTATTGTAAGGCTTTCTAGGGGCTCCTAGCCACTAGTCATGTCATTAGCATAAAAAAGTCACTCTTTTCTCTAGGGGAATTCCAAAGATTTTAGGAGCTCTGTGTCAGGAAACAGTGTGAAGACTAAATGTGTATTTCACAATGTCACAGTTAAGATGACTCAGGCTCTCCCTTGAAAGCATGCAGGCTATAGGGGGCAATGACTTTCCTGAATATTTCACAATTGTGCAAAACTATAAGCTGTGCTTGGGTTTAGGGGCCTAGGGAAAACTTCCCCTTCACTCTCTGAAGCCTCACTGAAAACCCTGAACAAAGGCAAATTAGTAGGAGAAAAGGCATGAAACATTTTAACATGCAAAGTATGGGGAAATCACAGAGGCATGATTATCCAGTAATCAATGGAGTATATACAGATGCCAATATACCCTTCTTTGTTGGGGGAGAGGGAGATGGGGAAATGTGGATGATTTTAGGGGGATGGTAAATGATTGGGAGAATTCAAAGGTCTTGGAAGGTATACAGAACTGTAAGAGTCTGTTTAACACACTGGGCAGACAGTGTTTTGTGACTAAAATCTGTACAAGTGTGCTGACAGACTTCAATCTTTCTTCCTGCTCTGTGAGTTAAATTAATGAAAACTCAGGGAAGGGACCAGAAGTAATTGCTTTCTGCATTGCACTAGTCTTTAGGAAGATGAAGAAGTATTAGAGAAAAACTTTCTGCATTGCACTAGACTTTAGGAAGATAAAGAAGTATTAGAGAAAACCTTTTCTCAGTGTCTTCTGGTTTCCAAGGGCCTTTAATTTAAAATAATCAGGCTACCAGGGTACTGTATTTTGGGGTGTAATTCTATGGTCTCCTTCAGTGGGAGGATGCACTTTGCCCAGAAGAATGGGGATTGTGAGACTTGTGAATAATTCTAAACAATATAGAGTTATAGGTATTCATCTACTCTGCTTTTGATTAAAACAGTGGGCTTCAAAGTGTAGTTCATCTTTTACTGATATTAGTTGTGATACAGATAGCATTAGTTCCAGTAAATTTCCATTTTCATGTTTGTAAAATGACAAAACACTGTTCAGAGGACTAACCAAAACATATTTGAAAACACACCAACCCCCCAAATTAATACATATGAAAGTATTGCAAAGTAGTTGGAGAAGAAGTTTTATTTAATATTTTAATTCATTGGCTACCATTTTGATGAGTTGCTTGAACTAGCAAATCAAGAAAGCCAAACATATTCAGTTAATTATTTTTTATTGTTATTATTATTTTTTTCTTTTGGCAGGAGGTGAGTTTGAACCCATGACCTCCGGTATATGGGGCCAGTGCCCCTACTCCTTTGAGACACAAGCTCCACTCAGTCAATTATTTTTATATAAGAATAACTAGTATCATAAATTGGTTTATTTAGTCTTATCTTGTTCTTTAAAACAATATAGGTTCAATATTTTTTTTCATTTCATTTTTAAATCTAATTTATGCCATCTAATGAAAACAGATTGGTTAATTAGTGGCATCACTACTTACAGAAAGTCTTGCTGAATAATAAGAAATCCATTTCTGCCAGGCATGGTGGCTCACACCTGTACACCTCACCCTCTGGGAGCCTGAGGTGAGGGGATTGCTTGAGCTTACTAGTTTGAGACCAGCCTGAGCAAGAGCAAGATGCTATCTATGCTAAAAGCAGAAAAACTGTCCAGACCTGGTAGTCCTAGCTACTCAGGAGGCTGAGGTAAGAGGATTGCTCAAACCAAATAGACTGCAGGTGCCGTGAGCTATGATATCAGGGCGTTATACCTAGGGCACAGAGTGAGACTCCATGTCAAAAAAAGAAAGAAAAAAAAGAAAAGAAAAAGAAAATCTATTTCTTCAGTATAGTTCACCTATTTAACCAATGTTCTGATGGGCAGATGAAACTTTGCTAACTGCATGACTTTGTGAAAATCATCATGACGCTCTCAGATTCAGTGACCTGATGTTCCCATTTCTTTTCACTGGATGAAATAATTGTACAATAGCCTGGGGCCATTCAATTCGACAAATACTTTCATTTTATCGCAGCCACTCTTCTAAGCATTTGAGTAGATCATTAAACAACAACAACAAAAAATTTTATGCTTCAAATCTATAGTTTTACATTGCAGATATTTACTTAAATTAACCAAACTACACAGAATGTAAGAAGATGATACAGTAAATTGAAGAAAAAAGAAGGGTGACCGTAAGTTCTAATTTTGGATTAGGTGACCAGGAAAGACATCACTTCATAGGGGATAACCCAGGAGATGTCTGATTTGAGGACAGCATTCAGACAGACACAAAGGCTGAGGCCTAAGATGGAGGATGGCACATGTGTTCTGGGAACTGGGAAGAGATCATTGTGAGGGCTCTAGTAGAGTGAATGTCCAGACAGTTGGAGAGATCAAGGAAGGCCCATATAGGCAGGCCACAGTGAGCATGATGCCTTATCTCTGAGTGAACTAGGAAATCATAGAAAAGTTATTACCAGAGAAACAGCATGATTAGACTATTTATGGTGATTACTCTGTATGCTTTATTGTGAATGAATGACAGAGAAGATTGAAGTGGAAAAAGCAGTTCAGGGCCTTTCCAGTAATTCTAGGAGAGATGATTGTGGGTTGGAATAGGTGTTAGTACTACAGGTGCTGAGAAATGGATGGGTTATCAGTAGAGAAGACAGAGTTGGAAAGATTTGCTTTTGGATTAGAAGTGATACATCATGGAAAGAAAAGGCATGCATGGTTTCAAGGTTTTTGCTCTTGAGAACTAGCAAAATGAGGTTGTCCTTTCCATGATGGGGAAATTACAAGTGGGGCAGAGGAAGGGGGGGTGGATTTTTGACATGTGGACGCTGTGATGAATGTTAAATAGCCGAAGGCCATTGTCAGGTAGGCAGATGATTTTACAAATATGGAGTTTCAGGAGAAGGGTCTTGGCCAGAATGTGCATTTGGGCATCAGCCAGCATATGAATGGAATTTCATTAAAGCAATGAGCTGGCCAACCCAAGAACACATAGGGAGTAAGCTAAGAGAGAGAAAAAAGGTTCCAGTCTTGAGACTATAGATTTCTCCTGTGGTGGCAATGAAGGAGGAGAGAAGAACAAGAGGGACCAAGAAGGAGCAGCTAGTAGAAGCTGGGTGCCATGGCTCACACCTATAATCCTGGCACTCCAGGAGGATGAGGCAGGTGGATCACCACCTGAGCTCAGGAGTTCGAGACCAACCTGAGCAAGAGTGAAACCCCATCTCTACTAAAATAGGAAAACCAGCTGGGCACCTGTAGTCCTAGTTACTCAGGATGCTGAGGCAAGAGGATCTCTTCAGTCTAAGAGTTTGAGGTTACTGTGTGCTGTGATGCCACAGAACTTATCTAAGGTGACAGAGTGAGACTTTTTTATTTATTTATTATTTTTTTTGAGACAGAGCCTCAAGCTATCTCCCTGGGTAGAGTGCCATAGCATCACAGCTCACAGCAACCCCCAACTCCTGGGCTCAAGCGAGTCTCCTGCCTCTGCCTCCCAAGTAGCTGGGACCACAGGCACCACCACAATGCCCGGCTATTTTTTGGTTGCAGCCATCATTGTTGTTTTGGCGGGTCCAGGCTGGATTCGAACATGCCACCTTAGGTGTATGTGGCTGGCGCCTTATCCACTTGAGCCACAGGCGCGGAGCCAGAATGAGACTTTTGTCTCAAAAACAAAACAAAACAAAACAAAACAAAAGGAGCAGTGAGTAAAGAGGGAAGGAAAGCAGAGATAACTGGTATCTTTGGAAAAGAAAGATTTTTCCAGAACAAATAGATTCCTAAGTATTGAGTGCTACAGAAAAATCATTTGTGATGAACTCTGACAAATATCCCTTTATCACTGTAGAGGTCACTGGGAAGATGGACCTGGGCAGTTTGGTTTGCATGTGGTCATGTCAGGATGATCAATAGACTTTAAGAGAGAAAGGGTAGGGAGAGAAGTGGGAGACAGACCTTATGAAAAGCCATTTCACAGATCTCTTTTGTTACAAGTGAAGCAGAGAAATGTGCTGGAGCAGGAATGACACCTAAGGACATCACATTTGTTCAATACACAATTCCATGGAGACCTCCTGGTCAGTCCCTATTATTTACTACCTGCAGAGTTTGAGGAAATTTTATAAACTCTTTGACTCTGAATCTCCTAATGCATAATGTAGGGATGATAATGGCCATGTTTTCAGGTTTGGTACGTGAGTTAGTATATGAGATGATATGCACACAAAGACTACTTGTATAACCACTCAGCTTTAAATATCAACAAAATGTTATTGGATGTCCCTTCTGGAAAGTCATCTGGAGAACACTTAGAGAACTAAAATTCTTCTGCTAGGTATATATCGAGAAGACCAAAAATCACACTACAATACAGATATTTGTACCAGAATGTTCATTTCAGCCCAATTCATAATTGCTAGGTCATGGAAGAAGCCCAAGTGCCCATCAACCTGTGAATGGATCAATAAATTGTGGTGGTATATGGTGGTATATGTACACCATGGAATACCATGCAACCATAAAGAAAGATGGAGACTTTACCTCCTTCATGTTTACATGGATGGAGCTGGAAAATATTCTTCTTAGCAAAGTATCTCAAGAATGGAAGAAAAAATATCCAATGTACTCAACCCTATTA